AAAAGTATTAAAGCTACAACTTTAAATGGGGCTAGGAGTCTAAAGAAACCTTCATAGGCTTTTAAGGTAAGGCCCTAGTTTAATGTCCAGTGCAAAGTTTTATATTGTGTCAATCAGTGCCAGTAAAGGTCAGTAAAAGTATTTACAAGAATATGAAGATTAATACATTAATATTGCTTTCACTAGTAAGAATAAAGTACATAAGGAGAAAATTTGGAGACCTCTTAAACATTGATAGGTGCATTACATGAATATGAATTAGACTTCCTTGTTTAAAGTATAAGTTCACTAGATTGTATTGACAATGTCAATTATGTATTTTTGATTTTTTTTAAAGATTGGTAGTGATGTTATTTTTGTCAAGCTAACATCAAGATTATTCTGAACATCCACTCCTTTCACTGAGAGTGAGTGCTTAGTATAATTAGTTCAATGGCAATGCATATGAAGTTTCGACGAGTTTCGGGTACTGTATTACTATTGGTGAATTTGGCTATTTGCTATAAAAAAATCCGTAAATGAATGTGGCAAGTTTTGTAAGTGATGGTATCGGAGTATGATGGTATTGCCCGAAGTAACATCTTAAAGCCTTTTCGTGAGTTACTCACGAAAAGGCTTTAAGATGTTATTTCGAAAATGGCATTTGCAGCATTCTGAGAACACATTTTGTAAAAAACTAGGTTTTCAAAACACTGTTTTAATTAATGGTATTAAATTACAATGTTTTAATTAATGGTACTATTATATAAGTGTGATTTGTGTTATTTGGTACAAGATTTTTACAGTTTATCAAAATTATAGGAGAGGCTCAGCCCCCCCCCCCCCAGTGTCTGCCACTGGCAGTTGACTGACAGTTGATTGCAGTAGAGAAGAGACTGCAATCTGAATATTCTTTGTCATATCATCAAATATAAACAAAGTGATTAGCTGGCAGCTGGGTATTTATTATAGTGACTATAGTTAAATATAAAAAACTTTTGTTTGCGCTAGCTTTCACCGAGCTTGCCGTTAGAGTGTATGGTAGGCACTGTGTGCGGAAAGTGAAACACAGTCTGGGTCGGGTTGTGTTTTGTTTGACTTAGCATTTTTTCTTAGTCACTATATAGCCGGCGGCAGTTTACTAAATAGCTGGTTGCCAGCTGTATAGTCACTTCGAAATTTAAATGTTTACTCAATAATTGTGAATGAAATTTTTTCATAGCAACCATGGATTTCCTTTGTGCAGATACATGTACGCCTAGCGTACCTATTTTTAAAACTAGTAATGTTTTATTCAAACTGGTAAATATTTTCAAAGCCCCCCCCCTTCTTTCGTCTCTCTGTATTTTTTCAAAACCCCCCCTTTCAGGTTTTAAAAAATTTAGAGGCCAGTTTCTCCTCAATCACCCCTGTACAATAAATAATGAGAGCTCTCGAGTCGCATACGGGACTTTGGGGGCGGGATCAGTGCTTCCATTTTCAAAATCAAAATTTCTCATTTTTGTCATCAAAATTTCTCTAAATTCCTTAGATTGTATACGTTATTTCCTTGAAAATTCCTTGAAATTTCATTAGGCGGTTTGCAGTGCGTTTGTAGCAATACAAAGGATTTAATAATTTTTAAAGGCACAAAATAGCACAACTAAAAAAGATGATTGCTAGCTAAAAAACCACAGGCTATTATACTGTTTAAAATTAAATATTTGTCATGAGTTTACAACATACACCTTTCCATTGATATAAAAAATTAATTATTCACAGTGTTTGGCGCCAAAAGTTACTAAATCCTATCGCTCAAAAACTTTCGGAAGTTTTCGGAAACACGAGGGAAAAGTTAAAAACAGATTTTTAATTAAACATAATTGATAATTCACTCAAAAATTCAAGAAATAGTGAAACTTTCTTCTGCACTAATGCCATTTGATGAATATTTAAGTTGTTCGGAAAAAATCCTTAGATTTCCTTAGATTTTTTCTCTTCCTTAGATTTTCCTTTTCGACACTAGAATTTCCTTAGAAAAGGAAATTTCCTTGAAAATGGAAGCACTGGGCGGGATTTGGCGGGAAAATCTGTAATGTTTGGAGAAGACAAGATGGCGCTGGACTCGGGTTACCTCGTGTTATATCAAAGGGCATTTTTTTTACAAATACCCGCTTATTTTACGTTTTAGCGACTCGTTAGTCTTGAAAATTATAACTCAATGGACCGGGAAAACGATTCTGTATTAAGGAGAAAAAGATGTGCAGTTATTGTGATGTTATTTGTTGTGAAAGACGGCCCGAAATTTCGCTACTTCGCTTTACTGGTTTATAAATCATTTAAAAGCAACAGCAATTGAACTATATCACAAAGGAACCGATGTATACAAGCCAATCAAGTTCTTCAGTTTAAAGGTCAGTTTACTTTTTAATAATTAGTTCATTTAGTTGTATATTAATACGAAGTACTGGAACAGTACGCCGAGTTTGATTTGCTATATTGAAATTTGTACTGTAGTCGGAATAAGATAAGGTATGGATAAACAGAGCCCAACCCCTTCTCTAACCCTAACCAATAAATGTGTAATGAACTATTTGAGAGTTAAAAAGGTTGGGGGGAAATTTTAAAATATTTTAATGCACATATCAACGGCCTGCCCGGGGGGTACACCCCGGGACAATCGGGGGGAAACAAGGGGGAATTTGGTATTTTATCCGTGTATTCTGCCCGTGAACCCCGGGGAAATTACAAACTTCGCAATAATAGGACGACGGGGGGAGGGGAAGTAGGGGACTTTGACGTGACAATTTGAATTTTATAAATGAACTGCACAATTGATGCGAACTCAAAATCGCAGGCTCACGGAGAAAAGTATCGATCGCAAACTTATTATATTTTGTAGTGGTCTTGCTAAAATTTGAATAAATAAATACAGAAAACATGAGTGCCATTGTGATACCCCAGTTTGTATGATAATTTTTAGTTGTTTGTATGCTATTTATATTATGAACAACTTTGTTCTAAGCCCCAGGGGGAGGGCAGTTTGACTTACACATTTCCCGGGGGAGGGAAGGGGAATTAATGCATTAGAATCATGTTTTTTTCAAAGTCCCGGGGGTGTACCCCCAGGGCAGGCCGTTGATATGTGCATAAGAAAAATTTCTACTGTCGGAAACTGTCGTAATTTAGAATTAGTATTTTTGTTCACACGTGGGACGCGCGAGTCCAAACTTTAAACACTTCGGAAAGTTCCGGATTATACCGGTGGTTGTTGTTTTTTCGAGAAGAGAACTTAAAAACATGTGGCTGTAAAACTGTGAAATTGGTGATTTTGTAATAGATATTATACTGTGATTTGTTGTGATTTATTTTGGGTGATACTTGGAGGTAATCCCCAACACTACTGTCCAGGGTGCATTCCATGTAAACTGTACGCCGGACATACGCCAACATATACGATCCTTTACGCCAATACATCGAAGATTTCCAGTTTTGGGGGCTTAAATCCATGTTTTGAAAACATCTAATGTGGTGATTCATGAAATCAGGCACAAACTAATCACTTGTTTTTGAGTGATCTCACGCCATTACGCCAACAATTTTGTAACCTCATGCTGGATATATCTGGTGTGGAGTGCATGGAATGCACACTGGTCTACGGGGCTGTTTATATGGAAGCTGGACTGGTCCGCTAAACGAGATAGATTTTATATCGCTTGCTGGCCTAGAAATTATTTAATACATTGGGTCATTCCAGAAAACATCCATACCACCCCCACAGAGGAAATAGGAAGTTAACCCCCCTTGGGATGCAGGGGCTTAGCCAGAGGGCCGTGTTGGCCATGTTATCGCGGCCAAAAAGAGAAAAACACGGCTAGATAAAATTAATGCGGTTTCATTATTTATATAAGGCTGTGTAGGTTCATAAAATAACAGACAGAATTTCTTCCTATTCACTGTACGTTGTAAGAAAGTTTGTAAAATCTACGGTTATTGTTGAAATTGGCGAAAGTGATCTGCATGTGATGTTTTAAATATGTTTTGGTGGATAATGGGAACTGTATGGTGTTATAATGGTTTTAAATACCCCCAAGAGTTGCTGAAAAAACTTAATATTTTAATGTCAGTGCGTAATATGAGCGTATGCTCGCCTTGTATTTGGTTGCAAAGCATAGAACAACCACAGGTATGGTCTGTTGTTGGCGACCATAACTAGAACCGCAAATTTGGCTATTTGAGGTAATTGACATGTGCACACCCTGGTCATTTAGAAACACGCTCAAGTTCTAAAATCCTAGCTAAGACCCTGTTCGGATGTCCTAATACATTTACTATTTCAGAACCATCCTCAGAGATATACGAAAAACTAGTTTCATATTATCAGAAACAATTTTTTCTTCCCTCCCCTTCCGGACAGCAGAAATTTCCTCCGTGGGGGGAGTATGGATGTTTTCTGGAACGACCGATTGCACTCAATGGACATTTGCAATTTTGACTAAATTTTGAAGGGGGGGGGGGAGAGGAATGTGGATATGTTTGTCTGAAGGTTTGAGACTGTGATAAAGTTATGTGATCGGCGATTATAATGAGCACGCAATTTTTATCGGCTATATGCAGCTCTTGAACACCGGAACGTTTATGTAACAGCAATAATTATACGTCCACGTAACTCGTAAGCAAAATAAGTGTTATTTTCTGCTGGCTGAGGAACGAAAGAGGCAGAAAATGTTTTTCTCACACACTGCTGGGGGATTGGGTCAAGGGTGGGGTCAAGGTCATCAGAGTCACTTTTTTGCTTGCCTCGTGCTAGCCTGACCTGTGTTGTTTTTGTTGAGCGAAAAATTTGCCTTTGTTGGCTTGGTAGTCATGCCAAAAGAATCAAATCAACCTAAATCAGACTCTAGAGCGTTACGGCGCCTAGATCCGTACAATGGAAGTCCTCGAGAGCGTGAAGAAAATCCGGAACGAAGTTCGCGCCATTCGAGTGGCGAAAAAGCAAGGTCGCGTCCTTCGCAATCTCCCAGTCGTTCCGAGACTCGCAGTCGCTCACGTTCGCCATCTGAACCGCCACAATGGGCGAGAGAGTTGTTAAAGAATCAGGAGGAATATAGAAAAGAACTGAAACGTCTACAAAGCGAAATCGAGCGTGATCGAGCGTCTATGTCGACGCGGGATTGGCGAGTATCGCAACATGTCTTCAAATATGTGGGGAACAAAAAACAATACGAGCTAAATAACAGCATTGCTGACAAGATTCAAGTAGCCCTAACGACTACCGACGAACAGCAACGAACGGCTGCGTTGAACGAAGGTAAGCGCTTGCTAAATGAAAGAAACAAACATATTTTGTTAGCAGAGAAATTTGGTTGGGACACAGTCGAATGCTACGCGGCGGAGCCTCTTGCCGCTGATGCAGACGATGCAGAGCGTATTAGAAAGGCTGTGAAGGAAAGCAAGCGTATCAGAGACGAAAAGAAAAAAGGAATTAGGACCTTGCACTACATCTAAGAGGCAGTTAACGTGGTCTGGCGAACCACAAACGGAACAAAACGGGCGTTGTTGACAGAGCATTGCTTCCCGCGCAATGGGGTTTTTTGGCGGGCAAATCGCGAATCCAAGAACAGTGACTTCTGATGGAGCACAACCTAGTGGACCTGCTTTGCAACCTACTACCCAGTTATAGTAGGAACGATTCATGTACTAATTAATCTTTATGGTTAAATTTGGGAACTTAGCTCGGGCACAAAAGGAAGGGACTACTCTCCGAAACAATTAATTTTGGAAGAGTCTGGGCAAACTATGGGTGTTGTTTTGTCTACTTTTTGTTGAATGTATAAAACGAACGAATGAACGTAACGTGAACTGTCAATGATATGCGAATAAATAACTAAAAAAAAAAATAAAAATAAAAATAAAAAATAAAAAAAAAAAAAAAAATTGAATTGTCAATACCAAATGGCCTGTAGGTGGAGATGGCCTGTTAGGGGCACAATGGCCTGTAAGGAGCACAATAGCCTGTAAGGGCAGAATTGCCTGTTAGGGGCAAATGGCCTGTTAGGGGCACAATAGTTTGAAAGGGGCAAATACCAGAGTGGAGTTCTGCCCATGGTGGCCGTTGTTGTTTACCTGACAAGAATTATGGCAAGCTTTGTCGAAGCCTGTTGCAGAGTTGAACCACACGACAGTTTTTGGAACTCAGTTCAGCAGCAAGTAGCCAATTGGCTTCGGGTGGCCTGTCAGGGGCGCAATCACTGTGTAATAGCCTGTTAGGGCAAATTTGCCTGTAAAGGGCAAATGGCCTGTTAGGGGCACAATAGCCCGTAAGGGCAGAATGGCCTGTTAGGGGCAAATTGGCCTGTTAGGGGCGGAACAGCCAGTAAGGGACAAATGGCCTGTTAGGGGCACAATAGCCGTAAGGGCAGAATCGCCTGTAAGGCAGAATTGCCTGTAAAGGCAGAATTGCCTGTTAGGGCAGAATCACCTGTAAAGGCAAAATTGCCTGTTAGGGCAGAATGGCCTGTGTAGGGCAAATGGCCTGTTAGGGGCACAATAGCCCGTAAGGGCAGGATGGCCTGTTAGGGGCAAATTGGCTTGTTAGGGGCAGAACAGCCTGTAAGAGACAAATGGCCTGTTAGGGGCACAATAGCCGTAAGGGCAAAATCACCTGTTAGGGGCATTAATGGCCTTTTAGGGGCACAGTATCCTTTTAGGGGCACAATATCCTGTTAGGGGCACAATATCCTGTAAGGGCAATTTGCCTGTTTGAGGCACAATAGCTTGTTCAGGATTGCCTGTCAAGGAAACAATATGTGTTAGAGTTACAGTGGTGAAACACTTGGAAGGACTAAATGACAGTTGTTATCACATACATGGTGTATATGTGCAGGTGGAGCAGCAGCAGCAGCCGCTTTGGGTGTGCCAATCCTGTTTCACTAACATGGGGAGTGACAGCCTAGGACAGATGCTGTGAAGAGAGATTATACTCTTTGTTATTAGTAACAAAAACTGTTAAGATAAGAACACTTAATTAATTGTCAATACCAAATGGCCGGT